TGGAATAACCATTACCTGGTTCGTGTTTAAATACTCCAACATTTGTCCTGTAAACAGTTTTCGGTACCATGCTCGCCTTCAGTCGATTTATTACCTATATTACTAAAAGAACTCTGAATATCCTTGTCTTTGTCTTACTGTCAATTGGGTTCAACAAAGAGTGGGTTTAGTAAACAATGCACATTTAACTCTGATTAGTGCGTCTATGAGGTTAAACAAAGTTGTGAAAACTGTCAGTGTTGGCTTACTGTGTCATCTAAGACTTGCAAGTTATTGGTTTGCAATCGAAAACGTTGTATTGACTAAGCGGTTCATTATAAATATCCGTATCTCAAAAGTGAACTTGGAATGGTATATATTCAAACAGCTAAAGGAGCATCTTTTCGAAGATGAGGGTAGCCTAACTCTGCCGTCCACATTTGAGCCGCTAGATGAATGTGAACTGACGTTGCAGTCCTCGTTATACTGGGTGGACTTCAGTAAACAAGTCGAAAATACCTCCTTTTCTCATTTTACTCAGGGAAACTTTTCTGTAGAACGGTACGTTACTATTAATACCAAATTATTACTACCCAGAAAAAAAGTTACTGACTTCACACAAGTGTCGGGTGTTACCATACGTTATGGATCAATCCGAATATTTTGTCCTGTTAGATTTCACCAAGAGTCCATGACATACGTACCATTTGTATGTTGCCACCATATAAATTCAAGGTAATACCCAACATACCATGTTCAGCTGAAAAAATGTTTACCCTTACTACGCATAATAGGCTCTTTTTAGGACAATATAAGCACTGAAATCCACCGTCCTCAAGATGAACGATCTTATAAGCAAGTTATTAAAGCACAAAAGTTACATTGAATACGTACATATGAGAAGGTAAAATTTTGGTTACCCTAATTCTGAAAGTCCATAGTGGCAAATAAATCCCTGGAATAAATAGTTCTGTAGGTTTTCAACATTTATGCTGAACTCATTAGTTTTACTAGATGCACCATAGCTGAAGAACCTTGGTTACGCATTCGAGCCAGATCACAAGTGGGTGCTTTGTGCAACGTGTCTCTTGCACCTAAAAGCCAGCTTAGACTAAACGCTTCTGAACAAGTTGAGAGCCATCCCACACATATCTCCGAACTCATTCATTCCTGACCTCCGATTTGACTGGGCTGGTAATCTTCCATTATAAAGGTGTTGTGGACAAAGGTACTGGCTAATACTGGATATCTGTGGCATCTTTATCAAACCACTCAGTGATACTTATCATAATTCCTTTAAAATATTTTGGCTGCAAATTTTGTTTAATCTTACCCGTAATAATAAAGTTGTACGATTACGTTGTCCGATACAGAGATGTTCGACCCACACACCCGTATATTCACTTTAGGATATAATATCTGGCAGAGTATGTGATGGTCAGTTGCATTAACTCAGTTTTGTTGTATAATTTATACAGTGGCGCGATTTAGTCGGGTGCTTTGCATGTCAATCCATATAATATCCAGTTGGTCGTCCAGTTATCTCTTTATCGGCCATATTTTATTGATATAATGATCTATTAATATTTGAGAAATGTTGGCAGGACGCTTTGGAAAATTCGTATACGTTACAGAATAGACTTGAATCGTAAGATATTGGCTTCACGCCATATACTGTGGATTTTCAGTGTTACCTTCCCTCTAATATAGTTTGTAGTGTGGTGTCGAGTAGCGTTTGACTATGAACACCACTAAAAGATGACTACGTGCCAGTTAACCGATAAAATACCCGTAAGCCAAATATCAGAAGACAGCTGATGGCTGCAGTGAAGATGTATTTGTTGGCGATCTCGTGGTATCGAGAGGATGCCGAAACCGTGCCCAAGGAGTACAGGCGTAATTACCGAGCGTAACCGAACCCATGCAAGGTCAAAATCAATGAAATGGTAATAATATGACTGTCTTGAGCACAGTTAAACAAACGAACACAGTAAAAATATCACTGGTACAACTGCAAATGTTTGTTTTCATTAAATCGCGTTCTCTTGTTAAAAGTAGGTCACTACAAGTTGTTGGTGATTCTATTGTGTCCCAGTATAAATCCAAATAAATCATAAAGAGATCTAATTCAGGTGTTAATTTGGCACGACTATCAAGATAGCTAAGGTTCCTATACCACTGAATTTATTCGATCGCTTTAACATCTCATCTTCTTGCGCCAGTATCCTCGCATTATTGCCTTGTTCGTGGTTTGCACTGTTTGGGTCTTACAGATATTGGTTGGAGCTCAGGATCAGTGAGAATATTTGGCGAAAACAGTTGTAGTTGAAGTCATGCCAATATCATTGTCATTGGGTGAAATCGTTGCAATTTTTCGAAAAACAGACTCCAATGTCATTGTCCGTTTACTGGTCCTGATTCGACAATTGGGATACCTAGTTACACTGTATTTCATTCTTCATGAGGACATGGATACCTCAACTGCGGTAACTACTATTAGTTCAGTTCATTTGTGTCCAATTATTCCTGTTATACTACGAATCTCATTAGCGCTACTGTACGCGATTAATTCAATTACTTAAATGTACTTTTGAAAGCATTCGTAATAGAGTTGTAAACTAAACCCATTCTTCCTCGATCTTAGAGATAAGGATGAGAAACGTAACAGATGTTTCCCTAAAGAGACTTTATTCTTGCTTTAAGACATATGTCTCTGTAGTCTCATCTTGTTTTTAAATATCTTGAAATATTGGATATGAACATGTTAGCAGCAATATAATAAATTTTCCTCAGTGTTTCTTCAATGACTCCAGCTGAAAGGGTTGGTCATCAATAATGAAATAAGGTCCCCTCAACAAGTTTGTTGAATACATTTTCACCCGACTGCCAGATAATTTCAGAAGGCATTTTAATCGTTTTTTAGTATTATCAACTGTAGGCAGACACAATATTTGTGCTTTCACTTGCACGATGACTACAAATTTCGTGTGATGCTTGACATAAGCTCTTAGTCAAATCAATCTTAATTCGTGAAAAGAAGTAACGACTGATTGGAAGAAACTAACTCCGATTCAGTTTAAAGCTGGTGGAGTATACAAAGAGGGACATTTATGGTCATTTATGCCAAGTTCTATCACCATTTCAGAAGCTTTCTTCGTCATCAGGAGCACGCGCCAAATGTGGACAGATTGCTTATTACAGGCCTTTAGAAAGTGGAAATACAAGCATGAGCTATTTAAAACTTTGTGTCCCCATACAACATATTAGGTAGTGAGAGCGCTCTCAAAAAATAATCTGACCAGGCCATGGCCTTTGATGTTTCCCTTCATAGGTCTTAAAATAGTTTCTCAGAAGGTTTGTCGTAGAGATTAGAATGACCATCGATAGCGAACAATATGTTGGAAAATCGTATCCCAGTGTTTTCTTTGAGAATAAAGGAATATAGATGGCGTTCATTTACGTTGATGTTTTAAATGGACAATTTTGAAGATCTGAGGGAGAGATAGACGGATGTAATAACACTAGATAAACTATCTAAATTATTACATGAATCTCTTATATAACTATGATCCCTGAGCATATGCTTCTAGAAAATAGTGTCCGTCAAAACTTAGATCAGAATCAATATTCCACTTTTCAAAGATTTATTTGTTACGAGAATTTATTCATATCTAAGTCATTCTTCAGCACATTGCACTGAACAGAAACTAAGATACTACGCAGGACTTTATGTAAATCACTCAGCCGCCAAGCCAGTTGGAGTAAAAATACAGATTTTTGCCACTATCACTTAATTCTATTCTTTGCTTGTGTTTGGTCTTCCATTTTTCGAACGGTCCCTATTTGTTTTTGTTTTATAGCGACTCACGTGCAATTGAGTTTATTCTCATTTAACTCAGTTTAGCCCTTTTGCTAACTCATTTAGCGGACAAAGTTATCCGCACTATAACACTTTATTGTACCCTTATTATTTTGTGCTTGTATGAAATACGTATGCTTGAATATTGATTACGGCCTACGCATTTATTCACTCTGCTAGTCTTACTACTAACTGCTTATTTGATTCGATTACTCATTCATTTCACATGCTGTATATATGTCCATGTTATTCATACTCACTCACTCACTCACACACTCTCGTTTCGCTCTTGCTATGGCTCCCGCTCGCTTGCTTGTACAACTCTTCTATGCTTGTTTAACGCATCTGTACATTTGGATATATATGTGTGGTCTCGCTATAAACATAATCAATACTTCGTATTTGCCTTCTGATTAATATACCGTTGGGATGTTATATAGAACGGTTATCAAGACGAGCTGTATACTAAGTTTCAAGATTATATCGAATATCGACCACCACAGTTTTATTCCCAATGGAGATGGCACAGGTATTCAATGTTTGATAACGCTTTAGCCAGTAACACCTAATATAACTAGTACCCACCAAGAGAAATCAAAAGACAGAATCGAGGAGATTGGAAGATATATTTGATGACAACCAATATATCGAGAATCGTCTGATCAAATCTGGCTAGCGATTGCAGTAGATTTTGAGCACGGTGTTCCCACACGCGATCTGGTGAGGATGCACGACCGAGCGCCTTCACCTAGGTGAGTCCATTAAAACATGTGGTCAACATCCAATGTCGAAAACTTACAGGACTATTTATTTTGGGGATTTATTTACCGCTACACCATTGTTTCGCCTTACTTCACAGGTCAGTAATGTAACCAACTAATGATCACCATAAGTTTAAAACCTTTAGTAAACCCAACCAGACAAACGAATGAATTGTGAGTTATCAATCATTTAATTAATAGTCGGTAAATCATATATATCCTAGTAAACAGATCAAATTTAAGGAAACTTAAGTTTAGCCGCTGGATAAATTAACTCGAGCTTCGCCAGAGAGTAGATTTGATTTCCAACAATGAAAAATTGAAAAGAATACCATAGCTTTCGCAAACTGATCATCGCAACTTAAAAAAGCTTATCTATTGAATTATTGAAATAGTACCTCGCAGGCGGGTGATCAACTCAGATGAACACTTTATTTTAAAGCGGGCTGTTTATAGCTGTTTGCCGTGGTTCCCAGTAGGTTATGACACACATATAATCTTGTCTTCACTTTATCGTCGAAAATTGCACTACTGTGGTTTTGGTGTGGAACACTTACCATGTTTTTAGATCCACGATTTTTACTGGTTATTCCACTTTATTAAACAAGTGACACGGTGGTGATCAATGTTTGTTTGGTGAACCTGTGATTACATTCTGGTTCATAGCAAGGGAAGTAAAGGAAAACAGTAGTAGAGCAGTAAAACTACTCATTACGTGGACCACTGTTCCTGGTCGACTAGACACGTGCCATTATTATCCAACTGATTCGTTTGGAGTCTCAGACCGTAGTGCGTAATTATAAAGCTGATTATTATGCTGCACAACTGGATTCAGTTAATTGCTCTTCAGTGGCGTCGATCAAATCTTAAATTTTACCGAGTTAGCTACAAGACGGTTTAAACCTATTTGCGACTCAACGTTTACGATCGTCTAAATGTTTTGCGAAACGGATTTCTGAAACATGTACAAATGTTTCTTATGTCATCGTCTTATTTTATAGTTAGTTTGCCGACTAATATTAATAACTAAGGTCCCAGATTTTCATTGTTTCGTTGTATGTACATACTTCAGCATTGTTTAACCTGAACACCATTGAAAATACAACATTTTACGATCGCGCAACCACGCTCCTTTAGTTTCGTGATTTCATTGTTTTGTCTATTTACTTTCTTAACGATGTCATACTAGCTTCTTAAGCACTAGCCATAAGCTTAAATCATTCTAGTGTCAACCGATGTCAAATGTTTGAACCTCCATTTGGTTTCGTTAGCCAGGTAGTACTACTAGTCTTTACATATACTGCGTTTTGGAGGGCGAGTGCAAAAAAGGATATTTAGTAGTTATATTGGCATATCTATTTTAAAAGCAAAATAGACTGCTAGTGTTAGCATGGTTTACTGTTAGAGTTACCTTGAAAGTGAACTTTGTCTGAACAATGTTGGCTTCATAGTTATATGCTGTTAATTAATTCACATTTCTAACTTGTTTATCTGTTTGAACCATTGAGGCGTAAACATAAGTGTCTTATAATTACCTACAAGTATTACGCTTCTAGCACACTACATAAAAGCTGTTTTTCACAACTCTCGTGTTATCCTAATTTTCAGTGATAACCATCTATGTAATATATATGTAAGAAAGTATCAGTGAACTTTATCCAGCTTTTTAAGCCTCAAAAAAATATTAAGTCGTGCCTTGTCCTGTAAATAGTTCTTTATGGATGTATAAATCGTCTCTTGAGAAACAGTTTCGTCAACCAGATGTGTAAACCCCTCCCAGCTTTACATGGTTCACTGTAGTTCTAACTTCACTAAAGTAGTTAGGGATCAAAAGTCTTTCTTATCGAATAGGCTGGTCTAACTGAATAAATCAATCATGCATCCTCACTTTATTGATTATTCTAATGCTTGACTACGTTGTATCACTCACAGTGTTTTCCTTAATCATCGAATAAAGTTGTTCAGTAACCTTTGAATCGTATATTCTCTCAGTTAAATTTGCAGGCTTCTTTTACTGAACTAATCTACGGCTGATGAATTTCTTACCAATCATGGGACGAGAAAGTATTCTCATATCATTTGTTAAGGATGTATCTGTCAGAAAATCATTGATTTTTAACCTAAGCTTTGTTATTGTGGTAGGATCCCAGTGCAGAACGTCACGATTTATTTTCTCTAGTTTATAATAATTCAGATTATTTATTGACTTAGTTGTAATAATTTTACTTTTCATAATTAAAATGATTCATGTGACTAAACTATAACAATGGGATCACATCCAGTATGTATATGCTCTGTATATTTGGCAAAGTAGCTGCTTAAATATTTAAGTCATCTAACATTCAGTCCATAGATTAGATTTCCAAATAACAACTTTTTGGTCGACTTGTCTATTTCTTATCTTCTTTTTCAATGTGTTATTAGATATACCATTTAATGATTAAAACTTTTCGAGTCCTAATTTTCTTGAGGTTATGTGATTTTCGTCTTCGTTTTGTGTCTTGGTTTAGATACTTACAAATGGACTTTTTGAATTGGCTCACTGGGTGGAAAAGAGATTCTAACGATGATAGTCAGTTAGACTTCTCGTTCCTATTTCCTGCCACCATTGGAGTAGGATCAATAGTCATTTGTCTTGTTGCCCACTATCGGAATGAGTTATTCGATTTAAAATCGACTATATTCCGAAATACAAAGGATGAAAACGTTTCTTCGCGTCGTGGCAACTCCTATTCCAATTTCAGGAAGAAGCCAAAGCATTCCAACAAATCTGAATCAAATGCTACTCAAATTCGAAAAACGGAAGTTTCACAACCACTTGTAGTCGAGACACTAGCTCCAGTCTTACCTGTCCAACAAACAGAATGCGCATCAGTTCAGCCTATTCAAATTAAACAAGAAACAGTCAGCGAGGCAACAGATGGAATTGAGGCTGAGTTCTTTAACCCCATTCCAAAGAAGCAGAAAAAGTCCAAACGTTCATCTAAAACGAAAGACGCCCTAAACCATGGTTTGAATGAACAAACTGAGATCGATCCAGCATGGGTTACGGTCACTTCAAAAAAGGTAAAACTTTCCAACCGCAACACTCAAAAGAAAAAGAACGTGGATAGCGAAGGTAAACGCATGTCGAATTTTACACTTTGTCCAATTATTGTTGTCAATTGTTTATATGACTTAATAAGGTAGTTTTTATTAATTTATATCGGATCGATTAATAAGAAGCTGAGATTTCCAAGCTATCTTGTCATGTTGCATGTTTATCGGTTTACAACTTCATCCTGTTAAATGTACTTTCTCATTCCCATTTTCCATACAGCAAACAAAAAACAACATTTGTGGCTTAATCGGCTTTGACCAATTAATTTCCGACTAGCATATTGTGTTTTTTCAAGCCATTACTTGCTAAGTAGGGAAAAACAACAAAATTATTGTCCCCCACTACTGTAAAACCAATTATTTCTATACCATATTTGGTGTTTTCCTAGTGAAACTGCTGAAATTCTAGTAACGATCTCAAGGACATAAATAAATAGCATTCTCGCTATTATTGGAAAGTACTATAGATAAATTACTATTTTGTGGTAATCAAAGTACCAGAGATTGTTCAAGTTTAAACGGGAATACGTAAAAAATACCTAGTGAAAATCCTAGTTATCAAATTCGCCTGTTAAATATGCAAAAAAAATGATGTTTCTGTGAAATTCTATCCCCGTAGATAAAAGCTTTCAATTCATTCTGTTTTTACGTGGAATAAAGTTCCTGAGTGCACATTAATAGTAATCATCAAACTGTTTGTTACGTAGCTCGATTGGCTTTTACCAACTTGTGTCACATATGACAGGGAGATATCTGTCTTTTAACCAAAGAATGAGTTTACTACGAATAAGTTTTCTCCGTTCCACTTTATGGATGTGAAATATGGCCATTTAAAATAGAGGGTATTCGTAGGTTACTAGTATTCGGTCATAGGTGTCTACGAAGCATTGCTCGTGTATCTTGAGATCACGGTGTAGCCAATACCCGGGTTAGGAATAGGATACTAGATAAGGATGGCAAATCGATTGATGAAGTAGTAGATCTTCATCAACTGAGGTGGTCGGAACGTGTTACATATGCCCATCCACCGCCTACCTCGATGGGAGACATTTCCTGGTGTAGGAGTAGATCAGAAGAAAACTAGGGGCGGCAAAACCAAAACATGGCATCAGTCCATGAAGTTACTGACAAATGAACTTAGCCAAGTTAATAGGTGTAGATTTTCTAGTTGTGGTATGCATTGTTCTCTTAACTAATAGTTAGAATTTTTGAATGACATGGGTCGAAATCGTTTGGAATGTCGTAGATGCATCTATTCTTTATCCTCCGCAATATTCTGAGCTTCAAAATTCCTCATAACTTTTTTGTCTTTATTTCAACAATTTATATTTTCTTTCCGAGTCGTACTTCAATGTCTAATCTTTCTTACTGCCACTGATACTGTTTTTACCACTACTACTCTGGGATTTGCGGTTTTTTTATCAAGGTTGTTCTCTACGGGATGGGGTTGCTGACCCCATGCCCAACCGTACTCCTTTGTCCGGGGTTGAGTTCGATAGTAACCCCAGACCGGTCATATTTGCATCATTAAAAAAATTCAGAAGGTCAGTGGGAGACGTGAGAACCAAAAGATGTGCTGACATAGCTTCAGATCATCACTTGGCGGTTGATAAAATGAAACTAAAACTAAAGAAGTACTGGACAACTGGAGAAACAACATCGAAGTAACTGCAAACATGCTCCACGTTCTGTTCAGGAAGATTTAGGAGGAAGAACAACTGCCGATGGTCTGGAAAGAAGGACACCTCATCAAGATTCCAAAGAAAGGAGATGTGAGCAAATGTAAGGATTACAGAGGCATCATACTACTGTCAGTACCAGGAAAGGTTTTCAACAGTGTCGCTGAACAGGATGAAATATTTGGTAGACGCCCAACTTCGAGATCAACAGGTTGAATTTCGTAAGGATTGGTCGTGCACAGACCAAAATGCCATCATCGTTAAACAATCAGTTGAGTGAAACTCGTCACTGAACATCAACTTCATTGACTGTGAGAAGGCGTTTGACAGTGTAGATAGAAGAACATTATGGGAACTTCGACACTATGGTGTACCTGAGACGATCGTCAATATCCGACAGAATTCATACGACGGGCGACGATGCAAAGTCGTGCACGGAAGACAGCTAACAGATGGATTGCAAGTAAGAACCGGTGTCAGACAAAGCTGTCTACTATCCTCCTTCCTCTTTCTTCTGGTGGTCGTCTGGATTATGAAGACCTTGACATCTGAGGGAAAGCACGGAATACAATGGACCGCCCAGAATCAATGAGAAGTGAGGACCGGTGTCGGACAAGGCTGTTTACTCTTCCCCTTTCTTCTAGTGGTTGACTGAATTGTGAAGACTTCCACATCTCAGGAGAAGCATGGAATACAATAGACAGCTTTCATACAACTGAACTGTTTGGACTTCTCAGATTACCTAGCTCTTCTATCCCATACACACCAATAAATCCAGGCTATGACTGCCAGTGTAGCATTAGCCCTCAACATACATAAGGGAGAAAGCAATATCCCGATAAACAACACAGAGGGTACCAACCCAATCACACTTGGTGAATAAGCTCTGGGAGAGGTAGAATGTTCTACGTATCTGAACAATATTACTGATAAACAAAATGGGTCTGGTACTGATGTAAATGCAAGGATTGGCACGACATAGACAGAATTCCTACAGTTAAAGAATATCTGGAACTCAAAACAGCTGTCAGCCAAAATCAGAGTTAGGATCTTCATTACGAATTTCTAGACAGTCCCAGTGTACGGAGCTGAGACTTGGAGAACTACAATCGTCATCAAAAAGTACAATTATTTATAAACAACTGCCCACGAAAGATACTCAATGTCCGTTTGCTTAATATCATCAGCAACAACCTGCTATGGCAGAGAACAAACCAGATACCAGTTGAAGAGGAAATTTGATGCTGGAGGTAAATAGAACATACATTTCGGAAACCATCAGACGACGCTAATTTGGAATCCTGAATGGAAAAGGAAAAGAGGAAGACCAAGGGACATATTGCGTTGGAAATTAGAAGCAGACATCAAAAGAAAGAATACCAACTGGAAAGGATTGCCTAGGACAGAGTTCGATGGAGAATACTGGTGGGCGGCCTATGCTCATCTGCTAGGAGTAACAAGCGTAAGAAAGTAAGTAGTTTTTGGCCTGACAACTTTATCTCTCTGTACTAATGGGGTATGGCAACTTAAACAAATGTACATACATACAGGTTCTACGTTGTGACTGACGGGCTGACTATGTAACTATTTTCTCCTTATTTAACCGTTTATTCTTTTTGCTTTGTTCCAGGAGATCAATCAGTTTCGGAAAATCACTCACCCATTTCTTTTGCTGAGTCACCGATCCAAAATAAACAAGCAAACAATAAGCAACAAGAGCTATCCACTAGCAATAAATCTAGCTCCTCCATTGTAGAAAATAAGGTTTGTTACTTCGATAAGCTTTTTGATATCCTTTTACATATACTTCGTAGTTGCAAACAATTGTTCAGTCAATTGATACGTCTTGCACCAAAATGATTACAGAATTGTTAATATTTGATAAAGTCCTCAAAGTAACTGTTCTCAAGACACTTATATACGTCAATATTCACGGAACCTTAAAACAAATATGTTGTCAGTGTAAACTTGTTACACATTTAGGGTAGGTAGTCTGTTAGTATTGTTAACCTTTATAATAAAAATCACAGAGCCTAGTACGTAAATGGTCACATGGTTCGTTAGTTTACCAACGTACTTTATGCTTTTAATGTTGTGCCTACGTACTATGCGAAGAGATATTCTATTGGAATAGATCTCAAAACTGAGAAACTGTTTTTCTATGTGGTTTTATCGATATACATGATTTCCTCGTCAAATAATTTCTGCCTATTGTGAAAACTAGTTTTCTCAACTGGGTACCACACATGTCCAATACACTGTCTATTTTAGGAAATTACACTGCGTTCACGTTATGAAACACTGAATCCTGTTTATGCTCATTTAAGTTGTAAATATCCTAGCATAATAACTTTTATTGAAAAAAGTTAACTTACATATTATTTATAATATCCATGAAAGTTGAGTACCCGTATGATCATTGTCGTCATCAGTATGTTAAAACAGTAGTTTGTATTTTCGTTTTCCTAGTCTGATTGTTGTGTGAAAATAGATCACATTAAAAAGCACAACCCGCATTTATAATCCCATTAATTGGTTTTAATGGATTATTGTACATTTGATCCATTTCACCGTTTCATATATGAAACTTCTTTGTCATTTATCTATCGAACTAATTTTGTTGTGTTAATTTCCACATTATTATGTATAACACTCAAGTAGGTTGGCTTTTCTGTAGGCACTCCGTGTTAACAGCTTAACTGTTTTATAGGTATAGTTTGGAAACATTTCTAAATTAAATGAAACCGATATTTGTCACTTGTTCCATCTTAACATACAATTTTAACCGATACCTTTCATTGTCAGTAGGGAAACAAGAATTTCACTGTTTCTAAATGTTAAAAGCTAGACGTTTATAGAAAAAGGTAGCCATGCTATAAAATTATTTCAAAGTAAAAAGATTTTTTAAAAGAATTGAAGTAGCTTCCAGAGTAGATTGTGTGAATTAAGTCGTATATCATTAGGAAGTGTAATAGGATTCTGTTTACTTAGTATTCATATGATAAGCCTGAAAAATACTAGGTTATTACTGGGTTCCATCCAGTATAACACCCGGAATTGTGCCACACCAAAATTCAATTATTTACTAATACAAGTAAACATTGATAATTCGTTATCACACTATAAAAGTTCAGCAAATTATATAGGGTCTACTTGTTGGTAGAACAGATACTTGATCAAAGCACGTTTCAGACAATATTTTCGACTAATCAGCGCAGATGGATGAGCTGTAAACACTCTACAATACTGTAAAGTTGATTTATATTCACTGACATTTTGATGTTTTCTGTTTTATTTGAAATATATTCATTTTAATGTTCGAGCCGTGTTTTGATTTGGAAACCAGTTGAGCAAAACGAAGTATGCAAGAATACTAAACAGTAGAATGCCGGGCCAAATAAGGAGATTTAATACTATCCTCTTTGAATAGTTGAATACATTTATCGAGCTACATTATTGAATCACTAAAACTGGTAACTGTTCGGTAACGTCTAATTCTCTCTCATTTCAAGACTACTTACTCAAGAAGTCAGAAACAAAACAGAAAGATATCGACTTAGAATGTTGTACAAATATGTACATGTTACAACAGTTTGCTACAACATAATTAATTAAGAGTACAAAATATTAAAAAGATATTATATTAGATATCGTGGGTGGAAACTGAATAATAACATAATCTTTGATACGCATCTGCGTAGTGTAGTGGTGAGGAATTACTACCACTCTTCGTGATTTATTGCTGTTTTTACCACCCAACAAATACGAAAGCTGGTTAAATTTCATCTTGGTTTTTGAATGCGGCAATCAGATCGCTTAATATTCGATTCGGATATTTAATTCTTTTTTTGTATGAGTCCATTTATATACAAGTTTATTTGGTATAGCTAATCTAAACATATAAGTGCTTTACAACTGCTCGTTTCACAGGTTACACTTCACTTGATTTCATTTCACACAAGAGCTGCTAATAACAGATGCCCCTAATATCAGACTTTTGATGAATTTATTAACGTTGTGTCATATGCAAATGAATAGTCACGCATTTATTTGTTTAATGTTTTTTGACCTATTAGTCTATGAATTTGGAATTAAACACAGATCAATCATGTCCTACTAAGCGGTCGAAAGCTCCTGCCCAAACTCAACCCATGAAAACTGAACATAATGAGAATACAAAGTTGGGTACCGTAAATTCGCATACTTCAACACCTTATGAAGAGTTGTTGTACAAAAATCTTGGTGCTGAAACAGTAACAGCCATTCGATCACTGATTCTGAATAGCGAAACCCATACTTCACGTCCTTCTGAAATCCCTTCTTCATGTGATGAGATGAGCAAGCAAGTGAGTCAAACCATTTGCTTAAACCCATCTTGGAATGCATTTGTTAAGAATTTTAAACCTAATACAACAAGGTAAAAAGTATTCTCTTTCTTACTAATATAATTTTCGGTCGGATGGTAAAGTTCTATTCGATTGCAATTAAATATTTGTTCAAAAACCTCCAAGTTAATGAAATGACGTGAATCGATTTAGTTCATCTCGTTTATAAGTGAATCTATTCTGAAGCACTTTAATGTACAAATGTTTTGAAAAATATAGGAGGATGTGAAATAGGTTCATAGCATTTCATTTCAATTCATGTGGAATGGTTTCTAGTATCCTCTTATACTCCTTTCAGTGATACGCTGTTATATTCATTCTTCGTTTTTCTATTTATACAGAAAATATTGTCTGTGTCTCCCAAAAGTACGAATAATCTGCCCACAACAAGTGAACTTATATCACAGCATATGACAGCCCAGCTACAAGCGAAAGAAGCTGAATGTCAGGTAATAAAAGTACTACCATGTATACATATATATATAGTGACAACAGGAATAGTAAATCCTTATAATCTAGTTGTTATAGTGCGTTTATTTTTTGAAATTCAGCATCCACTCTTACAATCAGATGAAATATTGTTGGTTATCGACTGGATGCTTTCTTCCATAAAATAACGGTACCTGTGGGAAATATATTCCTACGTTAGTTTCTTTCATCTATTGTCCTTTTGAAGTTCAGAAACTTGTACATACCACTGATTTGTAATCACTGTTTTTTAAATGTGAATTCCTTGTATTCACCGAGTGTATGTTAACATTCTATAATTTTTGTAGAAACACTCCTGTTGCCTAATAGCAGTAGATAAAATTTTATTTAAGGTAATTATGAACTTCCAGTCATTAGTATAAGCATTTTACATGAAAACACTTGTACTAATGACTAGGGTTTGATAATTTTTCCTCGTGCGAATGTGGTATGGAGACTTAAACCTATACACATTTGTGCCAGTGTCTTTGTTGCAAATGACTGACTGACTTGACATAGGGGAGCGTTATTTCTTTCCCTGATCATACTATATTGTAACCGTACTGCTACTCAACAATACAGACTGATCACAAATAAGTTACAAAACTCAAGTTAATATAAAAATAAGAAAATTTGAAATGTCAATTGTTTTGTTTAAATGGAGTTTACATACAGAGGCAATTTTTAATTGATTTTAATGTTCCAAGATAATTCAGATTTCAGTTGTTTTTCTAATTATTTGCATCATTTCTTCCAATGTATAGTCTTTCGTTAGCTATAGTTCACATTCACTCAAATAGACATAGGATGAAGTTATCAAATTCAAAGAATCACTTGTGATTCATTTCCACTAGTACAGTTTCATTGTTTATTATTATAACCAGTTATCTGTTTTACACTTGACGTCTATTAAAAATAATTTCTTTAACTGTTGTTTAAAAAGAAATTAAGGGAGAGTACATTTCGCGTATCTAGTAGTAATTCATATTTAACTAAACTGATATTCGCTTTTAATTGAAAATGCTTTGGAGATTATATCGTTATTATTATATTTATTTATTTAAGGTTTTGCGTACTGAAGTTGTCCATTTAAGGGATGAAGTAAAAATACTGAAAACTCTAGCTCTTAATCGTGTACCTGTCCAAAAGCCTATGACTGACGCTGAAACGATGACTGATCCAATGTAAGTTATATGTTATTACCCTGTCACTAATAATCATCATGATAATAATAAACTTACTTTTACTATATGTTTACCTACAAATAAATAATTCTCAGCACCAAATAAATTCTTACAATAAATCCCAATTTAACACGTATATAGCTATTATATATATATTAAACTATATCTTACCAGTGCTTATTTAGCATTCATTTTCAACTGTAATCAGTTTCAACTGTTCCCCCAACTCATAGTTTGTTGAATGTTACATCGGTCTTGATGTACTTCCCCATCGTTCCTCAAAAGAATAAACAAGAAATAAAAAATATCATAACCACTATGATATTTCCACTACTTAACGTCATGATATGTTGTTGGCTTTTTGCAAAACCCATAAGTACATTTCAAGATTCATAGACTTAGTTACTCCGTCAACGCACATCTAAATTAGGAATGTTTATCACAATAACTCAGCAGTTTGTAAAAAAGACGACCCAAAATGTTATTAAGATCGTCACTTGTTTGTTATTTCTGTTAAAGATTTTAGCTTTCTGTATTCATATAAGTTTGAAATGAGTGATTTAGATTTGAAACAAAGATTTTTAGTCGCTCAGAGTGAAACATCTACTGTTTTAAGGTTAAAGTTACCAAATATTAAAAAAGTACTGGTAATTTCTATTTGGGCGTTCTACTGAAGACCTGTTGTTTAAATCCATGTGAATAGGAAAACATTTCGAAACTCTAATAATTTATTTAAACATAATGAATATTAGTCAGATCTTGATATTTCTACGTGAAAGGTTCTTAGCTCTCAACGTCAGACTCCGTTCGTAAATATCATTATCTCATATTTTCCTAATTGTTAGTGAATCACCGGATATTAAATCCTCGCTTCCTCAGCAATCGACCGATTCAGATGCAGTTCTACTGTCGACTCTTCAAAATGAAATTGCCCGTTTAGTTAAAGAAGTGGTTATCTATCAACAACGTAGTGAAGTAAGTCGGTGCTCTTTTGTGTAATATAGTCTGTTAATATTAACCATTTTCGAGTAATTTAATTTTGGTTCATTATAACTTATATTAGTGTGTAGATATTGTTTTAGACTCCACACTTGTAGCAAATTTTGTTTGTATTATAATCTTGGGTTAAATGGTTTGATGAAAGAGTTGTCTGTTGTTAAAATTCAAAGGAAATTTGGTCGATAGAAGGCATAGAATGATACAAAGTTGTCATTTTACTTCAACACATAAATATTGGTACAAGAGGGCACCAAATATATATGCACCACACCATATTTGTGTGTGTGTGGGCTGTGATACTGCCCGAGTGCCCAGACCCAAGCACGTGGTTTTCTTAGAGGGCCACACCCCGGACCTTTGACCTGAAGGTCTGACCCACAAGGCAGTGGAGCATCGTGAGGAGATGCAGTCCGATGGTAGCCGGTGACCAGCAATTGGTCCATATGCCATTTGTTCCTTTAGGATACTGGAGCCCATGTGCACCATTGGTTTGGAATCCGGTTATAGCGCCGGACATTCGCTTTTCGTCCTCTCAGTTTCGTAAACAACAGTAGTGCCACGATAAGGTAGTGATTAGGACTTCCCTGGCAGAGGCTGTATACGCGTAGCCGTGTGAGAGCATTTCGAGAGGAAGGGAGGGCGGGCTCACCCCACTCTCGGCCATACCAGGGCATTTGGGGGCTGTTGTCAAGTGATGGGTGCTCCTGAAATCGAGTTATTGACGTAAACCGTCGAATGATTTAGAATTGAAGGAAAGAAAACTAGCCAGTAGAATATGCTTCTTGTATAATAAAATGACATGTTTATGTACAAAAAGATTCACGCAAAATTTAACACGGTAAACTGACGTAGGTAATTGAAAGAAATTAGTTTTTATTGCACTCATCCTCTTATCAATTAAGGTTTGACTGTTAAATGTGATTTCAATTCACTATCACTGTATTCTCATAAAAGTTGTACTACATAGTTTTGTTTTCAACAGCAGTTATTGGTCCACTTTATTGGCAAATATCTTTAATATGTTTCTAGTGTCATAGTACCAACTTTTACAGTTTGTTAAAAGCATCTAGCGAAACAAAACCACTGGCTAGATTTTAATAAAACTTCAAATTGAATTAAACATATACACGAGATCAAATGAGGTACTAATTAAAAATGTGGTAATTTTGTTTTTCCCCCATTTATCTTATTCATTTTTCTTAACTCTCCACAAAACTGTCTTCACATACGCACACAATTGTTCAGAATATTAAAGATGTTATTATTTTCTATTTGGCCATCATATTATTATGGGGTAGTTATTTCAAAATTTTGTTAATAAATCTATTTAGTAACTAATTCTCTGACTTATGCAAAAGTACTATTTTCATGAATTGTTTTCTCTACACTTAATTCACTAATTTTAATAGAATTTGAAAAGTCGTTTGGATACAGCCAATAAGAAATTATCCGATTCAAAATCTAAAGCTGCTGATGAAACTAAATTATTACAACAAACTTTAGATACACAATCGGAGAAATTATACAGTCTAGAGTCTGAGAATAGTCGTTTAGAAAAAGAATTAAAAGATGTATTACAGAAAGCTGAAATTCATCATCGAAAATCTGAGGTTTGTCAGATTATGTATATGCCATTATTGTAATTCTTGTTGTTTCGATAAATCATTACTAATAGCCATGCATATTAATCTATATTTGAGTTCATTAAGACTGTTCAATAATTTTTTGTAATAAATAAAGTGAAAATTTGATCAGATGCTGTGTGTCAGTGTATTATAGATTGCATCAATGTTTCAGGGTTTCTTGGTCTTAACACTTGGTTTTGTTTCAACTACGTTTATTATTATTCAATGCCAAATCATCTTAACAATCATTATTATCATAGTTTATTAGTCAATAGGTATTTATCATATATTTATCTACGTATTTATGCATGATTATTATACTTTTAATGCATGTTATTATAGGTCAAGGATATTTTTAAATGTGAAAGTTTCATGTATTCATTCACATCAAATATTGTTGACTCATCTAACATATATGAATTCGACTACTTAATAATTGATCAAAAGTTGCTTACATTCTAAGCTAATACTGTTTAATGTAAATATGTAACTAATACAATCTATCTAATATTTGTCTACCGTGGAAATTTCGAATTTATCATATGTTTATATGTTTAATGCTCATTATAATCTAATTCGATAGTCAATTACAATCAACTTAATTATCTCGTATGGCATTATTGCGTGTAGCTATAGAATTGTAGACTTTATGACCTAACTTGTATTTAATATTAACGAATGATTATTGATGGTAAAATATTTCTTGTTTATATATTCCAATTCTTTAAAAAAATTGTATATTGACTACTCTACTTTACCGTTTGTTCCACTGATCTTTGTAACATATCGAATATTAGTACAATGTTCTCGATGATTATGATAGAGACTATAAGTTCAAAGATAGTTATAGCTTCGTTATCGTTTGGTTTCAAATAAGATAGATATTATACATTTTGCATCGAAATTAAGAGTTTCATATGGATACAATAATTCATTTGTATACATATCAAGTGTCATTCCATCCATGAATTAACATTGGTAATAATGATAACTAGACATTCTAATTTCTAGTAACAACGACTCGTTGGTCGACTTATGTGGAGCGTAAAATAAGGACTTTCATCTTGAAAAAAATCAAATAATACCATACATCTATTTTTACTAATAATGACATTAGCGTCCTTAAAGTTTGGAATCTTGTAAACTAATGTAGTTTATAAAGGAATAGGAAAAATGTCAACTGCTTATATGATGAAGGTTTCAGTGATTGTTAGCACTGATATTTTACCTTAATTTTGCTCCTGTCATATTTTATGGGCTCAGTGGCTTACAAAATTTTCACCTGAAAAATGTACTGAATGCACATTTACACCATTTCTTTTTTATGTGTTGTCAGTAGCTGTATATGTAATTTAATACATACGTATTCCTGTGTGATAAATATTTGGTGATTTTATCATAGTTATTTATGTTAATTTGCTGGCTCGATCTAGAAATTTATTTAATGAGGCAGTAATACATGTATGTCATCATACAATCACACTGAAGGATATATGGATATTTTTTAACTTGACTTTCTAACCTTCTTATTTGTTGTAGGAGGCTGAACACAAACTCACACAGCGTTTGGAGGAACTAGAAGTACTCCGACTAGATATCTCATCTTTCAGGAGCAAATGTGAGGTGAGTTCATGGTTTTTATATCTATATATATATGCTGTGTAGATAGTTAGATAATATCCATTCTTTCGAACAGGATAGGTTTTTAATAAATTTGCAGGATAAATAAATTTAGTGTTAGCAATTTAGTCATCGTTTTATAGAGTTAAAAAATACGTCACTGGGTATTAATCAGGAGTAATTGTTGATTTAAACATGTTGATGACATCTCAAGGTTTAACAACAGATATTATTGTATATTGAAAAATGTAGCTTTTAAGATATCTCAGCTGGACGGTATTAAACATATATCGCAATATATATTTTACTCCACTTATGGAACAACAAGCCATGAGTATGTTGGAAGTTTCATTCTACTGAACTTAAATAAATTTCTCATCTGGTAATTACTTTGTAAATTCATTTGACAAATAATTAGAGAGAACCAACAGCGAAATCTTATTATGTAAACCAGGTTTTATCAAAACCATCATTTCTCTATTTACCGAATGTATGTATAAGGTTACCTTCGAACCTTAAAAGTAATATATTCGCTGTTTTCGAACTTCAGGCACTGGAAAATGGAAACTCTGTACTTCGGGGAGAGAAAGACATTCTAACACTCAAATTCGACGAATTAAGCAATAAACATTCCGTAAGTTTCGCTGGTCATTACTGTAATTATATATTATCATTACTATTCGTCTAATTATATGTAATCATAGGCGTTTTATGATTAAAGCATGATAGCTGATCTCGCAGAACGATTCATTTATCACTTCTTGTTTTTCTAAGTCCATTTCATTTGTTCTGATCAAGAAATTTGGAAAGACTGAAATATGATCTTTCTATGTATTGTATATATTCAATAAAGATAAACTGTAAAATAGAAATCACCAGTGTCTAATCACTGGTCTTTCAGTTGAATCTATCAATTCTTCAGACAGAAGTTCTGCAGCAGTTTCGTTAACCCAAATAGGGTTGATCCTCAGTTCATTGAATGAACATGTGTGTTGCATTAAACTACACTATGCCATTATGCTTAATATTATCGTATGAAATATATGATTTTTGGCTAATAATCAAATCCTAGACGCTAGTTTGGGACTCGCCAGTTGGGTGAACCTGCTTCCTTATGTTTATGTTCACGTTGAGGCTCTAACCCAGTATCTTTCACTTCAAATATCAACGTGTTTTTCCTAGTCAAAATGACTTACAAGATTACGCTTCAAATAACTGGCAGTTGCTCACATATTTGTATGTAGTTTAACAATTGATTTCCAAATCATGCATTTAGGACACGAATGCATTACATTCAAGATTAGTTTGTTTATATACTATATTTGAACTTATATCTCCTAATGGACACATTTACACTTTACCAACACATACAGAAAGCTACAACTTTATTTTTAAAGAAGTATGGTTTCTTTGGTTTTTGGCTTCGTATACTAACGTTCTGTGTCTGTGACTGCTTTCAAAATATTCCGAATTGAATTTTACCCACCTCGGAAAAATTGTATTCTAAGGTCGAAAGTTATTTACAATTGTCTTGTCAGAAATATGAGTTTCACAATATAGCCCTAAACTATTAACAATTATTGTTTAGTGTTAGTTGTATATTTCTAAACATCACATCGTTTTTCTGTATTTCACTAAATCAATGCATGCAACATAAATACTATTTTAGAAAGTAACAAGTTACAAGTTTCGATTTTTCCTTTTGTTCTTTCTGAATTTTTTCTTCACGAACTTTTATTTATTTCAACACATAGATATTGGTACAAATAGGCACCAAATACATATGCACCACACAAATCTCATTCGATATGTGTGAGGGCTGTGATACTGCCCGGGTGCCCAAACCGAAGCAGGTGGTTTTCTTAGGGGGCCACTCCCCGAGCCTTCGACCTGAAGGTCTGATCCACAAGTCAGTGGAGCATCGTGAGGAGATGCATTCCCATGGTAGCCAATGACCAACAATTGGTTCATACGCCATTTGTTCCTTTAGGATACTGAAGCCCATGTGCACCACTGATTTGGTTTGGAATCCGGTTAAAGCGCCGGACATTCGCTTTTTGTCCTCTCGTTTTCGTAAACAACACCCGTAGTGCGAGAGGGCAGTGAGTAGGGCTTCCCTGGCAGAGGCTATATATGCGTGGCCATGTGAGAGTATTTCGAGAGGGAGAGCGGACTCTCCCCACTCTCGGCCATACCAGGACATTTGTTAGAAAATGGTTATGTATCACTTATTCATAGTCTTATGCTGATGCATGAGAATCATACCAATATATATTTTTATGCTCTTGCCTGTCACTCACCTTCGTTCTACGTGATTAGGCTAATCGCCAAACTAAGTAAGTATAATTTCTCTTCATACGTGTAGTCACCCATTTACACTAGCAGATCAAGAATTCAGAGGGCAATGGTTCAAGTCTATCGGTCAGATGATCATATACTTGATATAAAGGATTCTTTTTAATTGGTCTATTTGATACTCATTAATCGTTTGTGGTATAAGCTAAACACGTCCCCTCTCTATGCGAACTGTATGATATTGTGTTGATGTGAGTCGACCAATTTATTTTTTTTCAATCATATATATGACTTTCACTAATACTTCTGGACTAAACGGTAGGTTTTTGGATATAACTGCCTCATATCTGCACAAGTTTTCAGCTGGCTCACAAAACTTAAGAGTATGAAGTAATAAGGTGATCGAATTTAAAACAAATCGAGATCTTATCTGTATTTCTTGTATCAACAATGACGCAAAGGATCGACGAGATATAATTGTATTTATATATGTATTTCCATTTATCTACGCTGCTTCATTATTGTTATTATTATTATGCTTGCTTTTAACAGAGTGTTCTGTCCGAATTGTCTGCATCTCAATCACAATGTAACGTACTTCGTAGACAAATAAGTGAATATGATGATCGTCTACGTCAAATAAATGATCAACATCAAATTGTTGTAGATGATATGAAGAATCAGTTAACATCATTATTATATAACCATGAAACAAAAGAAAAATCACATATCAATATGATAAATACATTAGAAGCTGAACTAGAAAAGTTAACCAATGAAAATAATGAATTAAATAAATCACTTAAACTACATGAAAGTGAACTAGGACATTTACGTACTGTTGAAAAAGTTACAGTAATTCAAAGAACTAATGAAGATAAATTTATGCAAACTGTCGATGATATTCAGAAGTAATCATATTTTTAATTTTACAATATATATATATATATATATATATATATATATATATATATATATATAAAGTATAATTAATCTGTTAATTCTACCTCCCGTTTGAGTTATGCTGTTACATACTTCTTCATAATAAATCGAGAGTTAACTAAAAGAAAAAGAGTTTACAGATAACAAGAGTAGAACATAAAATTAATATCATAACAAGTCTGAGGTTTATTATGAATGAATTGATATTTCGAACGATATTTAATTATAAACGAATTATTTACACGAATAGATTAAATCAATTTACTTCACTCTTTTAATTTAGTGTATTATTTATTTTTTGCATTTGAATTTGGTTATAAAATCAAATTATACAAAGTTGTTTTTCTTAATGAATTATCCCAATAGATTTGTATTTAGTTCTTTATTCTCCTTAAGTGTCAACTAGTTTTAATATGAATTGTATATTGTGATTTGTATAGTCTATAGTTCTATGTTCAATAAAAAAGGTGTATTCGAATTTTTGTATGTTGTAAATTAGTTTACTAGTCTATCTAAATACTGGTACCATCATGCATATGTAAACGTGTTTACAATAAATATGCATAAAAGATGAAAATAAATTAATATCAAAGTGATATAATCAGTAATCATTCTCTCTATGGTTTGTACTCACGTTTTCACCGCATTTTTGTATGCTTATCTCTTCACTTTGTGTGCTTTTTTCGCCCACACAACTACTGTAACTATTTTGTACTGATTAACAGCAAGAGTGAAATCTTTACCTCACCCGGTTCTTTAGGTAAAAGTTGATTACAGATTTACTTTTTTGGTGTCAAATGTTATGTTGTTAATGACCAATGGAGTTCAATCCGTGTCAAGTGTAAAACAATTATGCACCTCAGCTAATGGATGGCGGTTGTTCAATAATGTGCTTTGATCGGAGTTAGACATTAATACCGTTCTATTACCACGTTCGCGATCTTGAACATATAATGTTAAGGAGTTGCATACTAGCATAAGACAACCGTCCACTGCTTTTAAGTTTTCGATTGTAGTCTAGCTAAGATCGAATCGGGATTTAAACCCTGAATATTAATGTTCCAAAAGTCTTTTCAAAATTCATTTCCTGACATTCTTTGATTTATCTTTTGTATATCAACCATAGAGAAATTATTATCTACGCTATTTGAACATAAGTTACCGTACTAATTGTACCGCATTTTTATTACCTTGGTTATGAATGTTAAGTTTTACAAACTGATGTATTTTTTCACATTGGAGATTTTTTCTCTGAGCTGGATGGTTTGGTCATGGAGCTTTCATCGTTCTTCTAAACAACATCATCAGTACAAACTTCACCATCTCACATTGGAGTGTTGGTTGTTGTGTTGAAAAAATAATGAACTGACAGTATTACTATGATTAATATATTTATGATGAGAAATATTAAAAAAATAAGCAACAAATATAAGATGTTCTGCTAGTTCCAAGATACTCTTTCCATCTACCATGATCAAAGTAGCCGGAGATAATCTAAGATGTATCGTTTAGTAATAGCTGAGTGCTAAATCCCCATCGGACGGTTCCCTACAATTAATTTACTTGAGTTTCTGGTTTATTTCGATCACTTTTAACTTAATTTTGAGGCATTATTGTTTCTTGTATTTTGAATGAAAAACGGAATTACATACATCTGATTGGCTTTCCAATAATGTCTATTTTAATAAACTTGAAATTATTATTTTTTGATCTTTGTGTTTTGTTGAAATTTTTTAGCAACTCGAACTGATGTACGTACGTACGAAGTTCTACGTTGTTACTGATTGACTGACTGAGCATATTCGCCTCTTGTTTATAATAGGTTCTTGTGGAAATTTGTTTAACTTGGTGACGGTTTTTTTGACGCAGATTGACATTAGTTAATGTTCCAGCAAAGCACTCTTTGCCTGTGTTAAACCATTTTAATTATCATTCAGCCTCTCAATCAAGCTCACCTTCAACTATGGTGTTACATGTGCTCAGCCACGGGTGGAGATGGGGTTGTTATCTAGTGTGAAGAATATGTTATAAAAAATCTGGTGGTTGCCAAACCACGGCGTATCAATAGTCATCATCTTTTGGTAGATGTACACTACCTGATTGTGGTCCGTGCAGTAACCTCGGTCAATAGATCGAGACTTATTATCAGATTCGCTCGTAGCGGCAAAAAGTCTATCCACTTTATATCTTGCTCTGGATCATAAATCCTGGCATTCGTTCTTACTTTTTCAGTATATATTCTCATTATCATCACTACTACATTATTTCAACCCCTTTACGATTTATTTTGTTAATTACATCTCATTGTGCTAATATAACATTGCTAATTGGAGTAACGTTTATATTAATCAGGTTCTATGTTAAGTGAGACTCATTGATTGAGGTTTAATAGTAGTACGATCACTACTTTGTATTTATTTACATCTTTACTTGCGTTCTATATAACTGTATTAATGACAATACTAGAATCAAAATTCATGTCACTTTCATGTACGAAAAGGGCTCTTGGTACTTAACCATATTATCCGTTGCAGTACTAAATAATCGTCATCAATTTTTTAAGATTAATTTTCAATATAATTCTTTTCAGTCTATCTCATTGAAAGTATATTTTTTTCTATGAGTTACATTTCTTCTCAAATATTTACTTCTGATAGTGTAATCGTCTTATATTCATCTTGTTGAGGTGGTGCTATTGAAAAAAATGGAACAGAACTAATAAATGTATAAAGCATACATATATTGCATCCTTTATACATGTATATTAAATATCTTTCTTTAGATTGATGCACTTTCGCTGATATTATCGATTATCGATAATAAAAAGACTCCCTTGTAAACTAGTTATAGAAATGTGCTTCAAAACGAAAAAAATACATTTATGGAATCAAGTTCTCTAGAAAATGTGGCATCTTATATATATATATATATATATATATATATCGTATCATGTCTAATCATATACTCCTTTATGTGAAGTCAGTACTTCAATAGCTAAAGTGTAAGTGATAACGGATCTGTTTTTGAGCGTAAAACATTTCATGACAATAATCATGGTTTCTTATTACGCATTGCTGATTTACGGGAAAATGTTCATATTTCCAGTCTTGAACTTCCTAAAAATTAGTCGTTGGCAAATACATGTATTTCATTATGAGTGTCAATAATTATATAAATGGGTTTTTAATCGAGATGTTTTTGTATCCACAATATATAGTTTTATTGAGCATTGTTGCCTTCCAACGTATTCACTCGGTATTTGAAATTGCTTGACAAACATTGTTCTTGTAGCTAGTTTGTATTCTCCAGAAATATCGAATATAAGTTAACTATTAGTATAGGCTTGTAGGGATTATCAAGTTTCACGGGAATAAACGGATCAATGTTAGACCACCATTGAAAACCTGTAGACACTGGACAGTCGTTTCGTCCTAGTATGAGACTTTGCAATGCACATCCACAACTCCGCACACTGAAATCGAACTATTCTGTTACAAAATATCCCAGATGTAATCAATGTGATTTTTTATGGATATCGGTTTCAGATCGCTTCTCTTGTGTATAATCTGATTGTTCTGAGCGGGGGGGGAAAGCTAATTTCTTGCGCTTTCTGCTTTTTAGTTATATTTTTCGCGAATCAATTTCACTGTTTTTTTCTTCAGTAATGATCCTCAAACTGATGATGGCAAGTCAAGCAGCATTCATTATGAAACCATTGTTAAAATGAATGATCATACAGGCCAAACAGAATCGGATCAATTTATTATTAAGTCTAGTGAATACAAATCATTACAAAGTCAAGTTGATCATTACAAGTCAGCGTTAGATGCCACTGAATCAATGCTATCTAAATTACAAACGTCCGTGAATGAAGAAGAAGCACGCTGGCACAAAGCATTGGATGCTGCAAATATTGAAAATGAATTGGTAAACGAACATTTTTTGAATGTATCTGTAGACGATTGTGTAAAATGTCTACTTGTAGGAAATCGCTTTCTATTCATTTTGTGACAGTAATATGTTGTAAACAGTTGTACGTATTTTTTGTGTCCGATCGCTCTACTGCTTCCACTCCTTATTCTTTATATTTCTGTAATATATGATATTGTGAATTGGTAATCGTCAGACATTAACATCGTTTGATGCCGGCTCTGTGATCCGGAGGTTAAGTGTTTGCGCTCGAGATAAGAGGTCCTTGGTTCGAGTTCCACGTGCTGGATTGTGGATGCACACTTCTGAGGAGTTTTATGCTAGGACAAACTGGCTGTCCGTTGCTTCTAGGTTTTCGATGTTGGTCTAACATTGATCGATTGATAATTTCAATGAAATGTAATTCATTTCTCAAATATAAAATCTAATATTTGACTATAAACTTAATTGTTTATGTGTCGATAGGGCGATGACTCATTGGCGAAGGCCTTCGACTTTCAGCCGTTAATTCAGCAATTAAATGACTTAGTTAACTGGGAATCATCGTTATCCCTCATACTTAGCGCGTGATTTTTATGCCAAGTACACAAATTTGTGTGTGGTAAGTGTGTTTATCTCAGAAATAGTTATATACCCCTGTTGCTCGAACTGAACTAATTGAAATAGAATTAAAATCGGTGGTCTGCTAGCAGTTCAAAGCCTTGTTTATGTATGTATATTTTGTTCATATTTTAAAGGCTGTTGGACTATGCTACATGATAAAACAACATTGTTCTTTTCAAGTAGATACATGAGTTGATCAATTATTTGAAAGTTTAGTTTTAAAGGTTTTAGTACATATACATTTGATCAAAGATTAAAGTGACCAATCGTTTCGTTTTACAAGTGTTGTTTATTTTGAAATAATGTGTCTTTATTTGCCATAACATTATTTGGTTGTTTGATTAATCGCACGATCCTTTATAGAGTGAATGTATAAACTTTAATCAGCAAGATTTTTTCTCGTATAAATTATTTATCATAGCATTAATTTTATTGAAGTGGTTTTGCAGAAACACGCTTTGTTTGTAGGCTATATTCATCACAAGTGATCTCCGCTTAGGTATCATTAAATACCAGATAGCATTAAATATCTGTTGGATTCTAGTTGTAAACTACGCATCATGCACCACAACTACACTTGCTATTAACCTCAAGACCTTCAGAGTCCCACCTAAAACTCTTAACTCATTCATATTGAATGTGAAACAGTTGTTACTAGTGTTTTGTCATGTGATCATCGCGTTGTATCACAATTTAATTGGAGTGAAAATTGTATCATTGAACTCTGGGCCAGTGGTTTTAGTGGTTAATTATTGGCGTTGTGTAGATTCGTTAAAAGTGATATTTACTGAATAACCTTCAAGATATCTCGTATAGAAGTTTCTCAGTTTAATTTGATTGAATCGTGAATTTTCTAGAGAAAACGTGTTACAGTCTAAGGGAAAGCAAATACTAAATTATGATTGTTACACAATTATATAAATTAACTATTTGTTTTCTTTACTTTCCAGTTAAAAACGAAATCAATTAAACTTGAAGCTGCTTTGAATGAATTAATAGAAGATCGTAATACTTTGACAACGACTATCGAAGAGGTTAGTGCTATTACTACAAAGTTGGTTGTTATTTTTACGACAACAGTTAGTTTTTTATAACCGAAAAAATTTAAAAAGTCACATATTCTGTAGAAAGTGTTAACTATCCATGCGATAATTGTATTTCCTAAAATGTGTGGTCTTTCCAATACTTTTGAAATTTTCTTATTGGCTGCTCATTTCACATAATTAGGATATTTAATCATCACAAGTAACTGGTTATCAGTCTTCTGATAAATCGTTTCTCACTGAAGTGTCTACAAATACCCAATAAAAATTTTCCATCATTGTCTTTGGAAGTTGCTTTCAATCCTTTTGTTATTATTGTAACTTACTTTGTCAGTAATCATAATGGCTATTAAAATGTTTCATGCCCATCAAGGAAGAAGGTTTTTGTATAATTTCTCATGTTAATTAGTTTAGCCGGTGAGACTTTAATTTGTGGACGAACCAATGAGTTTAAAAATAGCAAGTCTTGGACTTGGACGCGAAATTCATTCATCCACAATGTTAAATAGCATTTTGGCATTATAGCTAATGTTCTTGATGAATACCTTTACTTTAACGTATAATCTTGAATTCTAAATTCTACCCATAATTCCTCATATTACTCTACAACTTTCTTTTGAGACTGGTAATTAGGTGAATTATCTCAGTCACCCTAGCGTTTTTCGAAGATCGTCCATAACTTATAGTCCCGCCGTTTAACCTTTCTTGGTAAACCTCAACATTTGTTTTCCTTTATATCGGTAGATCACTGTATTAAATTAAAATACACTGGTGAGCACTGGTAAGCAGACTTCAGTATATGTAGTTCATAATGAACACAGCTCTTGAATATCACTCTCTAATTAACCGTAGCTGGCCTCATTATCCTTTTTTATCGAACCAGTGTCATAGCTATTACCCTTAACTATTCTTAAAAAACCAGTTATTAAATAAATCGTTGTACAGATTTCTCGTTAGGCTATTCAAAAATTAACTAATAATTTGAAATTCAAACTTTCTATAGTTAGTTGTTGTGATGAAAAGATCTTTGTTTACTGAATGATAATTATTGATAGTCTACATCAGTTTTATTACTTTTTCGCATTATCAGCTTCGTAAAAACAGAGAGTTTAACAATTGTAATCTGATTGAAACTTCGACTGATAATTCTCTGACAACATCCATCAGTACGGAAAAGAAGTTGAACAATTCGTCATCCATTTCACCGTCACCGTCCTCGCCATTATCAACATCAGCGACAACAACTGATGATGCTGATGAACAAAACATGTCCAAATCCGAATTGATACGCTTAGTTGCTAAATTACGTAATCTTGTTGAAGTGGAACGTAACGCATTAAAACAAGAACAATCATTATCAGCCGAGTTAAGAACAAAATTAAACGATACCGACTCACATGATGATCAGAATTATAATTATTCAAATAATAATTGTTCAGACGAGAACACGGTAAATTTCCTTTTATTATTATTATTATTATTATTATTATTATTATTACTATTATTATTATTAAAACATTTTAGTCAGGATGTTATTGACAGATTAGATTTAAGGGATCTCGATAATTAAAGGATCTTTCCATTTTCTGTTTGTTTATTTATTTGTGACTCAATGTTACAAATGGACAATAAAATTAATATGCACCACACAAATAAGGGAAAGAAGATGGGGGGGAGTGCGTAAAGGTCGTCAGAACTATGCTTAATAACGTCTCAAGCCAATGAGTTACACCATCTATAAGATTCGAACTAAAGTTTCAATGAACGGACGAATTCCTGTCCTGTACAGTTTTATTCCCTACCACGTTTTCGTGTTATAAACTGAATATTTCTTCTCTGCTTTTAGAAACCAGTCTAGAGTCCAAATAAAGCCCCTATGTGAAAGTATCTATGATGAAATTTCGAGTACATGCTCAATCCACCGAACCCAGCGTTTCAAATGATGACACAACTGAGTTGTCGTTCTTCAACTCTCCATCTAGCACTACTTTATATATATATATATATATATATATATATATATATATATATATATATATATACGCTTTTGTGACCATTTGTTTATTGGGACGTAGGTGGAGATAACGAGAAGACAGCGTTCCCTATGTAATTTCTTTCTTATTTTGATGGAGCTCTGAAATCTGACAGTGTATAATGGACTGTTATGGGGAATCCAGTCAGCCATTCCTGCCCCTACTCTAGCCTTTAGTACTATACGACCGCCAATGAAACCAAACAAAGATCCTATAGGGTCTCCCGTTGAACGTGTTTTCTAATTGAGTCAATTCGTTGCACTTCTGGAGTCTTGAATACGGATCCCCAAAATACATTACACATTGATATCAAGACTTTTCAAAAACATACCCAAACCTATCCGTTGTTCAATCTGCATTAGTGTGCAAATGTTGAAGAAAGCCGGTTTGAATGACATATGTAGTATGCATTTATTGTAAGCATTTACCTCTTCGATCAGGATAAAAGTTCTACTCTAGAAGAGCTGGTGGGTGAATTGAAAATAAATATAAACAATGAATAGAAACAAAACAAATTAAAAATTAAAGCAAAGTAAAACAAAACCCCGTATCCACAGTCCTATTAGAAGATCTGATCGGAGTCATAAGCCGACCTAAGTTAGACAATACTAAAAAGTTAAACGACCGTTTAGTCCTAGGATGGGACACCTCAGGAGCGCTTATTCACAGCCCCTCACGTCTGAGTCGAACCATGGATGCGCCCTATTTAGAAGTCCCATACTAGGACAAAACAGCCGTCCAGTTTTTAGTGTCGATCTAACTTAGATAGACTCATGATTTCAGTGAAATTCAACAATCTTCACAGCCTCATACTGATAGCGAATTTGAATTTTTGTCACACTTTTTTGGTAGAACTTTTGTTACCATCAAACTAACTGAATCATAGTTCGTTTTATAAGACTTAAGGTGATAACATATTGGTTAGAAATCAAGTGTTTAAACTAAACTAAACTTTCAATGCTTCAGTTCCAAAAACTAACTCAAATCCGTCATCAATGTCGATCTCCTGGATTCGAACGTAACACCACCTGATTTTGTAATTATGTAACACCATAAAGTTACTAGTAGTAAATGTATTTGTACTGGGTACATCACCAGTCTACTACACTATTTATTTTTGATCCTCTAAATATTTGTTCCTGTTCGTCTACATATTGTCGTATTGTCTTTGTATTTTCTATTTTCTAGTGCTTAATTAATAGTCCTACAGAAACTATAGAAAATGCTATAAACTATCATAATAATTCTGGTGATGATCATTATACCAATACGAAAACTAATTCTCTGCATATTCATCCAAAAGGTGGTCTACTAGAAACTGATGATGTCAAATCTGAACAATTAAACAATTGTTTTGATGTAATATCAAAAATTCCAGATTGTATTCCTCAACGTGAAATATCGTCGAATGACAGTGGTTACATTGTTCTATCCAATGGTATACATAAGGAATTAAATGGACAAGCCAATCATGATCAAATTGATAGTAATAATGCTGATGATAATAATTAATATAAAACTGCAATATAAATATGAATTTCTCTATCTATATGTTTTTTTCTTTTCTGTTCCTCCGTTTCTGAACTTTTCTGTTTGTTGCTTTCTTTCTTTATTGTGTTAATTTCACTTACAGTCTTCTTTCAACTAATGTTTTGCAAATTTGTAATCAGGTAGGAAAAAGTATAAAAAATAAAAGAGAATCGAAATGAATAATTTCTTCATTTTATCTATCTTCTTGTTTCCTTAATGATTTGTCATATATTTGATAATTTGGGATTTGTTGTAATATTTAATATTGGGTTTATATTTCTCTGTGTGTGTGTGTGGACAGTTTTGTGAAACGTGCGTGCAATGTTTTAGGCGCACCTGGTGATTACTGCCACTTGTGAAATTAGTTCTATTTATAATTTATTAAAACAATAATTGATATTGAATTATACTCTTTCTTCATTTGAGTAAAGTAAAGAGAACATATCTAGTTATTACATAGGTGAATTTAGTCTACAAAAAGTTACTTTGTATTTCTGGTATATTTTCTGTTGTTGTAAATAATATTTTTTGTTGTTGCAATCTATCAATATTTACTGAAGTATGCTCATTCAGAATTCCTTATGGTTGTTTATATTCACTATATAACCATTATACACACGGTAAATTGAAAACGTTTAAGTAGTTGTATACGAAAAAAAAGAGATAAGTCAGTTTCACATACTGACTGAAAATATACTGCATTCTATTGATCATCTCTCCAAAAGTGCCTTGAGTTTTTTTTCTTACAAACAGTTTTAAAATATCTACTTCACATGTTTGTTATGTGAGAGATATAACGGGATGTTTACAAAACTTTCCTACTGTAATACTACTGGTCTAAAATGCTTAGTGTTTTCTACTGTGGTTATTTTGATTGTAATGATGATTAGTTGTTATTCATTAGGTAATCAGACATATGATCCTTGTTGTATTCATTTCTTTTCTTTATTTTCCTCTAAACATTCATATTTTCGTTTCTTTTTTTAAAAAACTGATTTTGTGTGTGTGTTTTTTAAAAAAAATTTATGGACACGAAAAGCAACTGGAACTAATTTGTCTGAGGACTTTATCACTTTTCTCCCTGTCTTTATTTACCTTTACGTTAAATTATTTGTGGATAGGCTTAGATATGTATCCTTTTTTATTCTTCCACTTCGTTTTTTATTCGTTACATTCTTTTGTTCGTATATTTTTACACTTACTAGAACATTGATAAATTGTACGTGTTATAGCTGAGAAGGTTAATCATAATTAAATTAACTTTTGCGCTATAGTTTAGTAATGACTGAAAAGTTCTAGTGTGATGTATGCTTCTCTTTATATCCTTCAATTTCTTTTTCGTACTCTATGTTTGTGAAATCAGTAAATTTTGTAACAAATTTGTTTTTTTTTTTTTGCTGAATGAAATAATTTATTATTTTACGCCTTTTGATTTTTGTTATTTAGGTATTAGGGCAAGTAGTAATTTAATTGGAAGTTAATCGATCTCTAGTTATATATCTGCTCTGGAATATATTCTAGTCTTTAGTTTAATTATAAACTGAAAAGTCTTTACCTGTTAGAATAGTCGCATTGAAATTACTGTAATTCAGTTTATCTTATCGTAATGAAGTCAAGAAAATATTGATATTGATTCGTCACAATACAAAGCAATAAAATTTGGAAAGCGTGTTATAAGCAAAATCCGGACTTTTCCCGCCTAATCGTCCATAAGCGTACCATTTAAATTGTGAAGATGTTGCTTAGTGACTAAGACGTTCGACTTTCAGCTACTAAGTCTCGTGTTCGAGTCCTTTACTATCTACTTCGGTTTGAGCGAACGTGTAGTTTGGTTCACATCCAAGTATCGAGTAAATGAGTTAATCTAAAATGCAATTAAATTCTTACTCATGTGGGTTTTAGCTTTGTTAGACTACAGTTCTGGATTTGACAAGTTTTCGGTTATAGTTTGACCACCTATATACCTTTTGTCTTTCATTGTAGCTAGTATGAGATAAGGTTGTAAAATAAGCAATGGTTGTATATATAATTTCTGAGATCATAATGAACGCCGAAACTTAAAAGCGAAGTATCCGTTCGTATACTCGACTTTAATCTCTACTTCTAATGTGAAGGTCTGTAGTATAATCCAATCCTACGAGCTGATGTAGATTAAACAACAGTTAATGATTGAAAGTTTATAAACTTATTTAGCCTATACTTACGTTCTTTGGATAATATCAATCAAGTTCAATTCTATTAATATCAATAATCTAATTAGATATTGTCATGTGAATTCAAATTACTTTTATACCTAATTGTATTACTTCCAAAACTATTTCTCACAATTCTATTTCTTCCTTTTATTTCCCTTAGACGAAACGAACTATGATTGTTCTAATTAGAACTATAAAGTAAAAAATTGCCTAGTTATATGTTGACAGTTTCTAGCCAGTAGATTGATTTCTAATCGTTTTGAGAATTTGAAAACAATCACCTATTTTCATTTTTATATATATATATATATATATATATATATATATAATGATAATAATTATAACAATAATGTAGACTGTCATAGAAATACTATGAAAATGTATCCTAAATAATTAACATTTATAATAAAACTTGTAAATTTCAAAGTCATATGATAAGAATTGTTCATGATGGTTATTGTGCCAAATGATGACCAGTTTTAAATGTTTATTACAATTTATCATATTGTTATAAATATAAACAAAACCTAATTGGAAATATTCATTAAGTGAAATAAAAAGAAGGAACATTCTAGTGTAGACTTTGGAATTTCAATACATTGAATATTTATCAATGGTTATTTATTTAGTTATTCGGTATTTTCAATGAATTTAATTAATTAGCGTTGTCAATTATACATACTTCTGTTGATGGAGTTTATTTACCCCAGTGTAATACTCATCAGGATGTGTATTTTGTTTCACGTTTTCATAATTTAAACTCTCTGATTTGTCGATGATCATTGGTTCTGTGTCTGATCATCGGCTCCTTTTAATAATTTCAAAGCTCTATAATGTACATCTAAGATTCAATAAGCTATTTAAGTATAATCAATTGATGTTTTCATTATTGAACTTCTAATTTGTTATCCTGATCTTATTTTACCCATGTCTTCCTTCCCTGCGAATGTCATACTTTGTGTTATATTTTCCAACACCGGTTGGGTAAAACAGATGGAAAGGTAGTCAGTTGATGAAACAGCGCTACATATTGAAGGATAGTTATTTGTTTATCGAAATGACTATTCTATTGTTCTAGCATTTTGTTTGTTTTAGTCTGTCAGGTGTGTGGCCGTTGTTCCCATGTTTATATTGACTGTTTTCATATCTCACCTTGGAGTTGTTTATCTTTTCCCTCATTGGTTAATAGGTTGAGTAGGTTCGATTGTTTATTGACTGTTGCATGATCAGAGTGTCAAGATTCTAACAATTCTCTGGCACTTTTTTGTTTGCTGTCTATTATTTTGACATTTTCTCAATCTAAATAACGTCCATAGTTCTTCACATGGATTGACATAAGAAAAGTTATGTCGTGACGTTTAACCGCTAGTTGATGCTCAGGTAGATGTCAATAGGTCGGGTGGTCACGTTTTTCTATTTAGTGATTCTCACAGCTGCTGCAGTTGATTTTATAGTTGATATCTGGTTTCTTTCCGTTGATTGTGGAGAAATTCGAATAATTCACTTCTTACTGAATTATGATCTGGTAATGTCGAAAAAGATAATGAACACTTTGCAATTAAACTATTCAACTCTGATAATAAAACACTTTCAAATTCCTCATCCTAAACTACACATATTCTTCATCATGCACATATCTTTCTATAGGGTCTAAACGATTGTACAAGGCAACAGCTTATGAAGTAATCAAATATTTTATAGATCAAATTGTAGTAATGATTCTACTATAGTTATCTATTGTCATACATAATAAGATTTACTACACAGCTGAGATGTAATTTGTATTCTTTCGATTCTGATTTGAAATATATTCTCTTTTTTAAATATTCCCTCATCTATTTTGTCATAAAATGTTTCGCTTAGTGTTTTTGGATGATTTATTTCCTTGTATCGTATCGTAACAAGTATAATTCAATAGGGCTGTTAATCATTTCTTACTTAAGTATTCAATTCTTAGTGTATTTCACTAAAAATGAATGTCAATTAATTGTTTCTTCTTAAAGAGTTTTTTCTAATATTATGAAATATAGTAAAATGCAACTAAGTATAAGGTAGCATGAAGAATAATTGGCAGTATTGATTATTAACTAGTCATTTGACTTCTAAAACATTTTCTTTTCGATTAGAAATGTTTTATTAGGTAATTATAATGTTAAAACAAACAGTTTCGAGGCTTACTTCTATAAATAAATAAACGTGAATGATAAAACATTATAGCCGAGATATAAATTTACTAAATGGTATTTAATTTTATACGGATTTGAGTCTCAGAGTGAACATCAATTTTGAGATGCAGGTATATTCCAGCTGGTGAGTCTTAAATAGAACGGAACACGCGTCCTAAATTTCACAGCTAACCATCATCCAGTTTTGTTTGTAAAACATGTGGCTTAAAGCAATATCGAGACAATCCACACAGGATGTATATATGCCAATAACAGATTGCCCCCAAATGCCCTGGTACGGCCGAGAGTGGGTAGAGTCCGCTCTCCCTGTCGAAATGCTCTCACATGGCCACGCGTATATAGCCTCTGCCACGGAAGTCCTACTCACTGCCTTCTCGCACCACGGGTGTTGTTTACGAAAATGAGAGGACAAAAAGCGAATGTCCGGCGCTTTAACCGGATTCCAAACCAAACCAATGGTGTACATGGGTTCCAGTATCCTGAAGGAACAAATGGGGTATGAGCCATGGGACTGCATCTCCTTACGTTGTTCCACTGCCTTGTGGATCAAACCTTTTGGTCGGAGGCTCCGGCTGTGACCCCCTAATAAAGGCACCTGTGTTGGTTTGGCCACTTTGGCAGTATCCTAGCCCTCACACAAATCAACTGATTTGTGTGGCGCATATGTATTCGATGCTCCTTTGTACCAATATTTATGTGTTCAAATAAATAAATAATAATTTCTGTTTCATTAGACTTAATACTATGGTGAATAAACTAGTGAAATTCAACGAATTTATTATATTCACCAGATTTGTTTTAATTTTTGAAGAAGAATAATAATAAACGAATTATATGAAATTCATCATGAAGTTTAATCACTTTAGGTCTCTAAGGTCAAATTTGATTTTTATTTTACACACAATAAATCTAGTTAGACACTTATTACTGAATAGTTATAATCAAAAACGAGGTCAATTAGTTTATTAGTTTCACTCTTAGAATTACCAACTTAATTTGTATTTAAAATGGGCTCAGTTAGGTATAATTTTTTCTCATGTTTGCAAAATTAAAAAAAAACATAACATCGTATTATTCTTTTTTATACTCTGGCAAATTATTTATAAACATAATAATTATCAGAAGGGGTTTTGTGGAGATTTTAGTAACTTCAATAGTTGAAATCATGAGTTAATTGAAGCTAAATCACCATGGAAAACCTGGAAGGTCGTTTCGTCCTAGTATGGAACTCCTCAGCAGTGCGCATCCACAATCCCGCCCTCCTCCCGCGAGATTCAAACCAACGACCTATCAGTCTCGCGGCGGGGGGGCGGGATTGTGGATGCGCACTGCTGAGGCATTCCATACTGGGACGAAACAGCCTTTCAGCGCTTCCAGGTTTTCTATGGTGGTCTAGCTTCAATTAACTCACGATTTCAACTATTGAAATATAATAATAATTATTATTAATGGCTTTATTCAATATTCTATTTCTGCTACAATGTAGAATTCTCAGTATGAAGTAATTCTATAAGTTTCTTTTTCTTATTGTTTGATTGATTCTGATAATAAATAGTGAGTGATCACCTATTGGATCTAAGCAGTTCATGGATCAGCATCTGAATATTGTTCATTCTATTCAATTCATATTGTCATCCATCACGATGTCATTGATTATACTCTGTTGTAACCTTTACAAAGAAATGTCGTAAACGCTTAATAAACGCACCGGAATAAGTTATACGATTAGTAGACATAACGATGTGTTAAAACAAACGAAAAATAGATAACTTGTTGAAATATTTAGATAAACGGAACAGGTATCCCATATATTTAAGCAGTCCGCCTTATATAATCACTTTGAATATGTTATTAAAAGACTATGAAGTTTTAATAAACTTGAAAATACTTTTCATCATGACAATATCAGCATTAAGACTAACAGAAAATCATTTGATATATAGATAAGTTACAAGTGAAGTATCACTAAGATATCCAAGAATATAATGTTATATTTACTTAAATCTCTTTTACTTTCGATAGTTCTTCAATTTGTTTCACTTAT